CAGATACACATCAGATGCATATTTTTCTGCTACGCTTTTAGTTTGACCACTTCTATTGACTCTCTTAATCAAAATGCCCTCTGGAAAGTCTCCACACTCTGCTTTAGCTACATCATAGACAGATTCTCTGATATGATTGAGCCCTGTATCATCATTATCATAGGCGTCAACCAATTTCTGCTCACAAGTCTTTCTATCATTTTCGCCAATTATCTCTTCAAGCTGCTTCAATATATTGTAGTCCAGTTCATCAGGCAGTTGTGTTGAGTACGCTTGAGCACTTTGACTCATTGTCAATATAAAGGTATAAAGAAGGATTGTTTTACCTTACATTGAGATGTCCAGTGGTCAATCACAAAATAGTCCAAATATCTCAGGGTAATGCATCATGAATCTCCAGTAATTCACAATTATTTTCGTCCACTCTCTCACAAGGCTGAAGTATGCATCATACTGTATCACCCTTGTGGGCTTATGTCATTACATAACCCTTGTCTGGAGGAGCTACAAAAAACACGTCCGTTCAGCTCGGCGTCCAGTGTCATGTATGTGTGTGTACAGGGGTGTATGTGTGTGTACAGGGGTGTATGTGTCTGTACAGGGATGTATGTGTGTACAGGGGTGTATGTGTGTGTGCCAGGGTGTATGTGTGTGTACAGGGGTGTATGTGTGTTTACAGGGGTGTATGTGTGTGTACAGGGATGTATGTGTGTGTACAGGGGTGTATGTGTGTGTACAGGGGTGTATGTGTGTGCGTGTGTGTCAGGGTGTATGTGTATGTACGGGGGTGTATGTGTGTGTGCCAGGGTGTATGTGTGTGTACAGGTGTTTATGTGTACAGGGGTGCATGTGTGTGTACAGGGATGTATATGTGTGTACATTGATGTATGTGTGTGTACAGGGATGTATGTGTGTGTACAGGGATGTATGTGTGTGTACAGGGGTGTATGTATATGTACATGGGGTGAACAGGGGTGTATGTGTGTGCACAGGGGTGTATGTTTGTGTACAGGGATGTATGTGTGTGTACAGGGGGGTATGTGTGTGTACAGGGGTGTATGTTAGTGTACAGGGGTGTATGTGTGTACAGGGGTGTATCTGTGTGTACAGGGGTGTATGTGTGTGTACAGGGGTGTATGTGTGTGCGTGTGTGCCAGGGTGTATGTGTATGTCCGGGGGTGTATGTGTGTGTGTGTGTGCCAGGGTGTATGTGTGTGTACAGGTGTTTATGTGTGCAGGGGTGCATGTGTGTGTACAGGGATGTATATGTGTGTACATTGATGTATGTGTGGGTACAGGGGTGTACGTGTGTGTATAGAGATGTATGTGTGTGTACAGGGGTGTATGTGTGTGTACAGGGATGTATGTGTGTGTACAGGGGTGTATGTGTGTGTACAGGGGTGTATGTATGTGTACAGGGGTGAACAGGGGTGTATGTGTGTGTACAGGGGTGTATGTTTGTGTACAGGGATGTATGTGTGTGTACAGGGGGGTATGTGTGTGTACAGGGATGTATGTTAGTGTACAGGGGTGTATGTGTGTACAGGGTAGTATGTGTGTGTACAGGGGTGTATGTGTGTGTACAGGGGTGTATGTGTGTGTACAGGGGTGTATGTTTATCTCAAATACATCAACATAGTGAAGTAATCAGGATTACCAAGACGAGTGGTGGATGGTCATACATTTATTGTATATGTACATGTTATCAATAAAAGTCCATAGATTACAAAAGTAAAACACAGCAAACTCGAAGTAACTGCATAATGAAACGATCATTGTGTTTTGTGAAAAGTAATTATATATAATTAGAATACATTAAATTTCCCGTGGGCGGTCGAGATTTGTTAGTTTTACTTATACATGTTATTAATACATGTCGATAGACCTGAAATTTGATCTGTGCATATATTGTTAAAATGCTCTGCAGGTTCTGTTTTGGACTACTGGTAATTTTAGAAACGGCTTCTATTGACATCCATAATGATTCATACTTCCATACTTTAAGGTGAGGTGAGGTGAGGTGAGGTGAGGTGAGGTGAGGTGAAATTGAGTTTAACGTCGTGTTCAAGGTTATTGCACTAAAATGCACGTGAGTGTGACGGCTTTTACAAGTCCAGACTAATGCCGATTTTATTGTGCTAGCCCATTAAGTACCACATTAACATGAATACCCCACTTAGACACAACATACTGCCGAGCCGACCAGTCTTTGTTTTAGCCCCTTAATGCCGAGTGCCAGGCAGGGTAACAACAAGTATAATCTTTGAACGTCTTTTGAAATGACGCGTCAGGGGATCGGACCCCCGCTCCTCGGGCAGACGCTCTACCACTATACCAAAGAGGCGGTCCATTCCATCTGTTAAGGACGCCCGCCAGTTATATCATGGCGTGCCAGCTTCACGTGGGAGGAAAGCCAGAAGTCTTGCAGACCTCAGACGTTAACGAAGTTTGTGAGACCCAACAACACCGGTATGGAAACATATCAGAACATATCACGGATTCGAACCCACGAACGTATGATCCCAGCACGTTCTGCACAGTGTAATGCAGCACCTTAAACGACTGGGCGACCCGTGCCCGCCCAATTATAGAATTTTACTATGCCGTGCAGGCAAATATTGAACTTTAATACATAACCATGGATCGATTTCACTGGGCCACCAGTGGCCAGCCGTTTTAAACACAGAACTATGAACCCATAGATCGATTTCACTGGGCCAGGTTCCGTCCGAATTAACGAGGCTTTATTGTATACATTTATGTTAATAAGTGCGTGAGTGATGTGTTACATCGCAGTTAGCAATATTTAATCTCTGTCTTGCCAGCCTGGGCCAAGAAAACCAGTGATGACATCAACGATCCATGACGTTCGCCACGGTGCCACACAATCAGCCAGGTCACACACTACACTCCCTTGATCCCAAGGAGTGTTCATCATGCGACACCAGATCTTACGCTTGGCAAAGTATATTGGGGACTAGGTTTGTCACAAAATCTTGGTGGCGACCTCAGCCGATAGATACCGCCATGCATTATTGAACCAGTTGTGTGATGAGGTGAAATAGGGTTTAACGTAGTGCACACGAGATTGGTGTCGTGTGCAGAAAGGGGATGCCATTGTGACCAATCTAGCTCCTGTCTTAATTTGGGTAATTCATTAGATGGCTGTCATTAGGTTGCCCTGAAGTCATATAATTGACAGAACACAAGATGCTCGATGTGAGTGAGTTGGAATTTACCATGTAATCAGCAATAATCATGTCATGAATATGAGGACGATATCGCGTTCTGGTGTGAATCATTGTTGTTAACTTCTTATCAACTTCCCATTGTAGGAAAACCACACATATATTGTCATGTGGGCACATATTGCAGACCCGGCTTGTAAATCGGAAACAGGTCGAACAACCCGCTATTGGAAAGTTGTAGCCATCCCTCTTGTCACATTGTCTTGTGGATAATTTTTGTCCTCTGAATCTTTATGGATAGATCCAAATATGACACAATTAGGTGGTTTCTCTGGTCTCCTTAATTCCTTGCTCTGGTGGGTAAACTAGTGGATAGGAGTTGGCTATTTGGCCGTTATTGAACGATATCAGATCATCGTTATACCTGAAGCTGAAGACAAACTTCTTGGCATTTCACATCTTGTCTTGTCAGTAAACTTCAGCAACACATGGGAGGCAGTCATTACTGGACTGGTGTGTAACCTGGTGGAGTATCAACAAAGCTGGTACTATTGCATGTAAATATTTATTTCATGACAGAGTTGTGTTCTTCTACTACCCACCAATATAATCATGGACCTCGTGATATAATCATGGACCTCGTGATATTATCACGGACCTCCCAATATTATCATGGACCTCCCAATATAATCATGGACCTCCCAATATTAGCATGGACTTTCCAATATTATCATGGACCTCCCAATATAATCATAGACCTCCCAATATTATCATGGACCTCCCACTATAATCATGGACCTCCCAATATTATCATGAACCTCCCAATATAATCATGGACCTCCCACTATAATCATGGACCTCCCAATATTATCATGGACTTCCCACTATAATCATGGACCTCCCAATATTATCATGAACCTCCCAATATAATCATGGACCTCCCACTATAATCATGGACCTCCCAATATAATCATGGACCTCCCAATATTATCATGGACCTCCCAATATAAGCATGGGCCTCCCAATATAATCATGGACCTCCCAATATAATTGTCTCTAAAGTGATCACCAGTGATGCTTGTTACAAAGGACACAATTCAACGGTGACAATGCACGGACCAACTTTCCATGCTTACAGACACAGCATTGTTATCTTGTTCCTTCAGTGAACAAGGTGATTTGTAGCTTAGGCCAGACCAAATATCCTTAGGTGTGTTTTTCCTTTTGTTGAAGTAAGTAAAACAGTTAATTAAAAGCTTGAAACCCTTTCCATATTCATAAGAAATCTCTTCCGAAAGCATTTCTTATAAGTATTTTTGGTCAAGATAAATAATCAAGAAATGAATTTCAAAAGTTACTTCACTTCTAACTCAACAACAAGAAGAAATAAAACTGTTATCAATTTTGTTTTTGAAAAGTTCATAAAGTAATGACTTCATTTTAATAGCCTCAGTGTGAACTGCACACCAATCTTGCTGAGGACAATCAAGGATGTTAATTGTGCAAGCATCCACAATGACCACTTTTGCAACTTATTAGGGATCCAAGCCACAATGGCTGAGAGCTCTGTTGTAATTGTTGGATTTATTATTATCATTATTTCCCCCTTTTTTTGTACCAGGGACACCTCAATAACCAGAGTTATTCTTATTATTACCAGGTACAATTAGCTCACTACGTACAAGAAGTGATTTATTGTCAATAAAACATTTATAATGATGTGAATTTCAACTTAAAATCCTGTTTTAAAATTAAAACAATGATAAACTGCAGAAGTAAAACGTTTAACAAATGAGTCCTAAAACTGTACAATAAGATGACATGTATTTATACAATATATTAAAGAGACAAAGCTGAGGACATTGATGTAAAAACACAAAAGGAGGAAACATGACGTCAATAATGTGACTGCAGGTGTATAACAACACAAATACCACATTTTCTCTGTGTGACCAGGAACATTGTTTTATTTCATCTAGCTCCTAGACCTGGATGTAGAGTGCTGGTGTTATTTTTTCAGGGTGACGATGTTACAGATTTATTATCTTCTTTTCTTCACGCCAGGGAAAAGACAGTTGGTTATTGGAGATCTGGCACTATTTACAGCCCCAGTGCTCATTTTTATTGAACTGTATAAGGGGCTTAAAGGGGAAGTGTACACGCAAAAATCATTTTCTTTCTTATTTAAAAAAAAAGGGATTTTAGAATTAGTTAGTGTCAGTGTTTGAAAATATACACTCATTTTCCTCACAGTCAATGTAGCGAGCTCACAATAGGTGTGAAAATGTCATGCCGTTATGAGGCCTTCGTTTTCCGAGCTAAACAGGCCTGAGTTATCCCCCTTAGATTATGACGTAATTGGCGCCAATTTAACTGGGTCCCTGTCTTGTCACAACGCAAAAGATATCAAGTTACAGTTTATGGTGAGACAACATGGCATCCGATACCTTGCCTGGTCCGAAGAAGTTCCCTTGACCCTTCAAGAAATCGCAAAACCATACGATTTTGAACCAAAACGAGCAAGCTTCGCGGTATGGAAACGATGAAAATCAAGTGGAAACAAGAGAAGACCCACATCACCTAATTTGTCACCCGACCCCGACTCGACATCTACACAAGTAGGCCTACCAGTGACAACGTGGTAAGAATAACACTTTGATGTGTGTATACCTAAATTACCTATATGCTCATTATTACGTTTTCAGAAGCGGAAACGTAATATTCTATGAGATTTTTGTCACGCCTGGTGACCCGCATGCTTCGTCAGCAGGCCTATTCATCCTGTATCAATGCTACTTGCCAATATCAAGAAACAAATACGATCTGTCGCCAAACGTTGTCTCAACAAGATTACACATTAGGCCTACCAGCTAATGACGAGACCATATGCTTAGAGTAACACGAAAATGGGGTACGTCCCAGTACGTTTCTAAAGTCGGTTGCCGAGTGGAAACGTACTGGGGGGAAAAAGATTCTGTTTGATAATTTCCCATCCGAGTTCAAAATACCTGCCATATTTATTGATAAGTAATTGGATGTCGTACTTCACACTTCACACCGTCCCCATTTGAAAGTGAAAAGATAGATCACTCAATTGATTTGTTTAGTGTTTGAAACCAGTTACTGCAGGAGGCCTACAGTATCTTATTCTATTTAATAGATAATTGGTTATTGGTTTGTTCTGACAACCATTCATAGAAAATGCATTGCAACTTTGCAGGGAAACTATTTATCATCTATTATGGGGCCAGATTTAAAAAAAAAAATGTTTAGAAATTATAAAAAAGAAGAAATATCTAATATATAATTAATTATTAAAAACAGTGGGTGGTTTCACTGAGTGGACCAGATATATGTAAAATGTTTACAAAAAGCTCATTTACTGTCAAAATCAATACATATAAATTATCTAAGAAACTATAAGTAAAACTTGTTGAATATTAGTGAAAAATATTTGAAATTGTAAATCTTTGTTTGGAAATTTGGACCTCCCAACCTGACCTTTTGAGCAAAACGTCTGTAACAACCACCCTCTAAAATGCAAGTGAAATATGCAATCATTTTTTTATATGAGTGAATGAGTAGGGTTTTACCCCGCTTTTAGCAATATTCCAGCAATATCACAACTCGGGGACACCAGAAAAGGACTTCACATGTTGTGCCCATGTGGGGAATCGAACTTGGGTCTTCAGTGTGACGATCGAACACTTTCACCACAAGGCTACCCCACCATCCTTTTTAATATTAACACTTGAAATAAAGTTTAGAAAACATATAATATGATTTACTTTCATCAATATATTTTATTATGCATTTTAAGATCTATCATGCACAACAAACAAATCTGACAAGTAAAATAAGAGATTCGAGTACCATAAATGTTTATTTGCCAGCAAGTTGTGAAAGCATATGTAACTTGTAAGGTTATTAAATTACATCAGTGATATTGAAACATGCCCACAATATTTCAAGAAGTATTCAAACCTACAGTAATAAACACATCATGTCAACATGATAGAACTATAAACTGTTTTGATATTTATTGAATTATTAACATGTAATAAATTTTTCATCATAAGTTTCTGTAATACACGATGGATGATGCTGGATCAGGTAGTTTTGGGCAAGGGCAAAGGCCGGGGAAAAGACTGAACAAAATATCACAAGCACTGGCTAAATGCTCAGTGGCAACTTGTTAGTGCACTGGTTGACTATTTCAAAAGTACAGCTCTCTTGTTGTCTGAAGCACTGTACCTCACAAGACACTCTAATAGTTTATGACTTGTAACTCTGCATGAAAATAATCACAATTTGCACTCAATGAAAATGGATCTCAACACCAGGGATTTCTTGTGACACCGGTGGGGCAGGATACTCTCACCTTTCGCGAACACCTGGTATCATCACTATTTGATAGCGATTCATTAACACGTGCTCATCATTTAGTCAGAATCGTACCATCAACTGTTTTTTACAGAGATTTCATGTGAATATGGAAAGGGTTTTGTCGTATTTATACTCTACCATATCATTGTGGGACCTGAAAAATATAAAAATAATTTTAACATAAATTTGTCAAAACAATATGTACACTGACTAAATAATTGTAAAGAAGGTGGTAATAATCTTCAGCAGTGTCAGGCATGTCACTGGGTGCCTGAAGACAAATATCATCAGTTAACTGTGTACAAATTGTATCAGATCTTAACTGTTATATGTCATTCACAGTATACTTTCATTTGTCATCCATACTACACTTTTACAACAAAAGACAACAATATAGAATATAATAGATACACAAAATAGTTCAATACAGAATTTTTTTGCATATAGTATTTACATTGTGTGATTATTCATTGTCAAAATATTATTTTGTACCTCATACTGTGAAGCACGGTGTGCCATGCTTCTTGTGTACATTGGACAGCGACTTTACACCATGATGGACTGTGGACCTGTACTTTCTGGGCATTGGTGTCTGGCATGACTTGGCTCGAAACTTCATATTTGAAAGATACAACATAGAAACATTAACACTTTTGTCATCTATATCCACTATCACAAAATATAAAATGGTAACTTGATTTTTTTCATGTATAAATGTGCTATAAATGTATATGTGTGTAAATTGCATTGAACATGAAATTTGAATATTTTGGGTGGTAGGTGGGCGATGATTTTGGTTAGTGACTGGATATTTTGTCAGCTACAAACCTGCAAAACCAGATATCTTTTTAAATAAAAAATATATAAAGCCTCAATATAAAAAATAAACATGTTGCAACAATGTATTTTTGCGGATTTTTGCTTCAACAGTCTGAATCAAAATTATTGTACATGATTATTTAAAGATTAGGTACACACACAAACACACACACACAGAGAATTTCAGTGAGTTTATATAATTTATAATTTGTTTTCCTGTGTTATTATAAAGTTTTTTAATTACCGAAATGAGATGATTTGTGTTAATTCCAGATGGGAATGGCTGTAAAACAAAATCATTACGTAATACAACTTACTCCATCAACAGGATTTTGCTGCATACTGCAACGATCAGCTGATCAGGAGTATCGACATAACCATGCAGGAAGTGAACACCTGAACGAGACAACATCGCGGATGTTCATGATTGTCAAGTGAAACAAATATCACCCTACTCCTGCTAAAATACATTTCTAAAATACTACTGTGTTTAGAATAAACTAAAACAGCAAACTTACCTGATCGAGTTACTTCAACTTTACGGCGTTTGTTTACAAAAACATCCCAGTCAGGGTCTTGATGAGAGTGCTGTCCCTTTGGCCCGTTTCCATATAAGGATCGTACACCATCCACTTCCGATCAGTTTCAGCACAGGACCATATGTAACTTATAATAGTAACAAAAACGGCCTTCGGCCTCTTCTATAATTTTTTGGCGAGGTTTTTTAATTGTTATTATTAGTTACATATGGTCCTGTGGTTTCAGAACCAGCAGGTATCTAAACTCTCACGGAAGACGACAGCAACTCAGCAAGAGCCAATATGCGCAACACAAATGAACGAATAAGCGCAATTCATACAACGGACCCTTCCAACCATAATCGCGAATCTTACAGTATGTTATCAGTGCACACTGTTGTCTTCACAGTCGCGATTTTGGAAAACGAAATAATTTTAGAGTAATTGTGCTTAGCTTTGTATCTCGGCTCGGCACCGAACAAAACAATAGCTAGGCTGCGCATCTGAGAAGATAGAACCACACACCTACATACACCATGTACCACGTGAAACGCGTCTAATAAAGTCTTATGACGTCATTCCTTTATCAATTGGCACCAATGACGTCATATTGCAAGGGGCATAAGCCATGGTGTGTTTATTATGGAAATAGAACTCTCTGTAAATGTGAAAAATATGAACCGATTTTATGAATAAAATAAATTTGATACGTGTGATATTTTAATTGTTTTGCCTCCGAAACTACTAGGTAAATACTTTTCATGATGAAAAAGTACAAGAAAAATAGGTTTACTTTCGTGTGAACTTGCCCTTTAAGTTCCAACTCTCACAGAGAGGAAGTATGTTAATTCATAACAAGGAGGTAGAATCCTGGTGTTATCATTTCAGGGTGACGATGTTACAGATTTATTTTCTTCTTTTCTTCGTACCAGGCAAAGGTCAGTTGAATCAGACATGCCTGATGGCTATTGGGGATATGGCACTATGTAGAGCCCCAGTGCTTATTTTCATTGACCTGTTTAAGTACGGACATTTACACGAGGCCGGCGTTAAGTCTCAGCTCTTATTGAGAGGAAGTATGTTACTTCATAATTACACAGGTACAGCATGGTCTTGAAGCACGACTACATATACTATAGAATACAACGGTACTCCTTGCTAGAGATGTTCTCGAGGGAAACAAAAACACAATGTCAGCTGTTTGGGGAGAAGTATTCTCTCATCTTGACCCAACTGTGACAATAGTTTTTGCAAAACTGAGAAAG